AACGCTGAAGTCTATCGTGGCAGTCAACGTGTTAACAATTTATCGAAAATAAGAGGAAATTCCAGGCTTTTCCTGTGTCAACGTGTGCTCTAAAGTATAATCATTCATAACAGAGAAATAATATGTAATTTTTATTCAAACAGATTAAATAATACTTATGTTCGTTCAATGCTACTTGAAATCTTCACCGCGAGTATGGCATGATATTGTAGGGCAAGGGGTTGATTTTCTTAGATTTTCTGTTGTGTTTAACACTAAAACTACCGGACGGATAGAATCGGCCGACTTTAGAGATTTTATTTTGTAAATGTTCAAATTAAGAAGGCACGTTTGCGAAAGGTTTTCCATGAAATTCGCGTATTTACAGATACGAGACTAGGCGACCCTTCGAATCTCGAGAAACGTATTATTCGAACTTTTATAGAAAACTCGAGATTAGCCACTGTAACCACTCGGTAGCTTTAGTGTTAAAGATTCCACGGATAGTCTTCTTAAAAGTTACCACGTGCGAGTCTCGCGACGACGATTCCAAAGGGAATCCACCGAGAAGCTAACCCTCCGCACTCGGACATACTAGAAATATTTACCATTCGACGAGACGAAGAGGACATTCTTTGAAACTAACTCGAAGAGGAATCGCATATCGATTTCGCATATCGGCGCGTTATACAAAGTTCAACGTTAGACATCAAATTTTATAGCTTCACTGCGTCAAATCAAGTGCTGACTGAGAGTCCCGTCTCGAGTGCAACGGGTTAAGCATTATTTTTCTCTTATCGATTAGCGTGCTTCAGAGCGAGCGTAGACACGTGTCTAGGGTTTTTCTGTTCGTTAAGAAATAATTACCGATCAGGTCTCGGCGGTTCATAGTCGAGAGAGAAATCACGGGGTACATTCGAACGAGACCAGTTCTAATTAACGATCCGGAGTTCGTGAGTCTTAGGAAACGGCTCGGTCGCCGGCAGGGCGCGAAGGATCCTACGATCGGTAAACGAGGGACACGGGGATTACCTTCCCACGCAGGTGCGTCGTGTTGCCGCAGCGTACCCTGAATACCCAGAGGGTAATGTTTCTTTGGTTCGTCTGGCCCGTACGATGACGCTGGTAATGATGGGCGTGCCTGAACTCGACTCTCGCCCAGAGGGTGGCTCGCTTGATCCTGAGGGGCTCCAGGGCTGGTTCTCCGCTGGACATCGGGAACTCGAGCAACGGTTGCCCGTTCAGCGTTCGTCCTGCGGGCAGAAGAACAGAGGGAGTATATTTCACTCGATCGGTCACCGAGATACCTGGAGAACTCTCTAAACCAACGAGCGAACGCGGAAATCCAAAGGGAAACGCGGAAAACGCGGAAAACTCTGGCCTCGCTAGATCGCGGCGAACCTGGTTTTCGCGGTTTCCGTTGCCCCCCGTCCCGCGAGCAGCGGAACTTATCGATTTTTTGAATGCGTTCGGTAAACCACTCCCCGCAAGCACCGCCACCCTTCCCCGACCCGTCACCCTTCGCCGCTACCCTCTCGCCGCCAATAAACCTATCGCGATCGTAACTTACGCCCGGCGAGCTGCGAGCAGCGGGACCGTTCTTCCTCTTAACTTTCGAAAATTCTTGGCCGGGGGAGAGACGGCCGTCCGTTTAGCCAGCCGTCCGCCTTTCCGCTATATACGATCTGCCCAAGAAATTACTAGCCGCGCGTACGGCCGGCAAACTTCGGATCGGACGGGCCTCGCCCGAGGGATCCGCGAGGCTCTCCGTTCGTCTTCGGCGTCGCGTGTCGCGTGCACGCGCGTACGTCTTTTTAATCGTCGATCGACGAACACGGCGGGTGACACAGGGGGTGGCGACGGGGACGAGGGTGGCAGAGCGAACGGGAACA